CGACAGCCTTGGCGCCAATGCCAGGCCAGATGCCCGCAAAAGCCAATTGCCCAGGACTTTGCCATCAGATGTCACCTGTAAAGCGCAGCTGTTTGGCTCTCTGTCACTCTCCATTGGTACAGATAGTTTCAAATTAAGACCGACGGGTTTTTGTCACACCAAAGTCATGTACCCAGTGTCGTTGTATGTCCCATACATGTGGATATATGTACTGCATGCATGTATCCCAGTATGGTTGACAAATGTGAATAAGTGTCTGCGCGTGTGTGTGTGAATGTGTATGTATGTATGTGTGTGTGAGTGTGTATGTGTGTGTGTGTGTGTGTGCGTATGTGTGTGGGTGTGCGCTCGACCCTTCCACGTACAAGAACATATCTGGAGAGAGACAAACATATGGATGCATATTCCCAAGCAATTGTGCATATACGCACACACACACGCACACGCACGCACACACACACTGTGGATCTCACGTGTATATGCAGCTCCTCACACGGGCAGGTAGATGTCAGGTGAGGAACGAATAGGCAGAAACCGAGACACACAAATATGGATTTGCGCTGACAGCTTATTAAGAACACAGCACGCATCCATACGTGTACACACGCACATACAGAGAGCGAGAGAGAGAGAGAGAGGGGGAGATACTAAACCCATATACCTTTGTGAATCAGTCACAGCTAACTCAGTAGTTAACTCCTTCTTAGCCAGAAATGTCGCCAAGAATCAAAAAAAATCCCTAACAATAACAATAATAGTAATAATAATACTTGCATTTGACACAGCACCTTATCAAGTCAATGGCGGGGGGCGGGGAGAGAGAGTGGGAGTAGTCGGTGGTGGGGGGGGGGGGGGGGGAGGCCACAGACAGGCTTCAATATTCCATCATTGTGGAAACCAGGACATTGGTTCCCAAATGGCAGCTCGTTTCCTCCATCAATCAGTCGGGTTTGGCAGTGACTCAGTCCTCACGTTATGGCTGAGGTGTGTGTAATGGTCTGACTTACCGGGTGGACAAAAATGTGGGCAGCTGTGGGTAGCAGATGAGACATCTTTCCGATGTGAGTGAAGTGAAGGGCGCTATGCAAGTACGATTTGTTGTTGTTTTTGTTTTTCCTGATTTTGCTCTTTTTTTTTAATCGATAACTTCATCGGAAAACCCTGGCCTCACAGATGTGCCAACTGTTGCTGACAGGGGAGTGACTGGGGGGGTAGAGTGCGGTCAATGGAGGGGAAACGACACTGATTCTGCACTGATAAGCAAGGCTAGACTGTTTTTTTTTGGGGTGGGGGTGGGGGGGGGGGGGGGGGGGGGGGGGGGGGTCAGCCGGGTGTCTGACACATCCAGAAGCCTATCCCCGTCCTTAAGAGTTATCCAAACCAATTTGAGAATTCCTCGCATCCCACTTACACGTGGAAATCCCAGAGAAACATGACACCTCTCGACACCTGGGGTTAACCTGTGATGGGATTCTTCTTAAACACACACATGGGCCACAAAATACACAGTTTCACGCACTTTCCAGTGTATCCCGTGAAGCGCTTTGAGATGTCTCGAAGACGTGATAAGGCACTGTATCGAATGAAAGGATTATTATTATTATTATTATTATCAAAAGTTTCCTAAAGTATATATTTTGGGGCTTTTTTTTTGGAAAGTCTGGTTCCTTTACTGCAATGTATTGGGGGAATCCCCTGTCTGTGTCTTAGTTCAATGTACAAAGTGTGTGTGGGGGTGTGGGGGGGTAAATGTCAACTACAGCTCTCTCTCTTCACCCCCAACCCCACCCACCCTGCCTGCTCTTGGCTTGGTTTGGTATGTGTTGAGACACACAAATAGAGACACACACCGGATCCTATCCCTCATCTGTATGAGGATTCATTACCGGATAGATCTCAGCTCACGGTCTCCCCGCGTAGGACGCTTTTTGGGGATCAAATCTCCACTTGAGCCCACAAAACACACAGTCACTACAGTTTATAATATACCACGTGAAGCGCTTTGAGACGTCTGAACGAGTTGCTTCTATTCTGGTATTAAATCAAGTCATAAAACAACCTGGACCAAGCCGGGGAGGTAGGTCAGGGGGCGCTCTGTCTCTGGTGGCCCCACTTTCCCCCTCTCAAGGGGGTAAATAGACGTAAATAGACAATATAGACCAACATCATAATAATAATAGTAATCCTGGCATTTGATACAGCGCCAGATCACGTCTTCGAGACGTCTCAAAGCGCTTCACAGAATATACTGTGAAGTGAAATTGACTGCATTTTGTGGGTGAAATGTTTGTTTCAGTGAGAAGTTGAGAGATTCAAGTTCCTGAACTCACAAAAAAACACATCGCCGTTCAATTCTTATTTAACACCACAATCTCGGCAAGAAAAATAAAATACTCTGTGAGTTGTGAGTGTGTTTGAGTGAGTGAGTGAGTGAGTGTGTGAGTGAGTGTGTGTGTAAGTGTGTGAATGAGTGTGTGAGTAAGTGTGTGAGTGAGTGAGTGTGTGAGTGAGTGCGTGAATGTGTGAGTAAGTGTGTGAGTGTGTGAGTGAGTGAATGTGTGAGTAAGTGTGTGAGTGTGTGAGTGAGTGAATGAGTGAGTGGGAGTGTAAGTGGAGTAACAATAAGGGTTAGTTACGCGAGATTGCAGAATTCATTGATTTCTGAATGAATTGATTTCGCCCCGATTAAAAATAATGTTTTTTTTTGGGGGGGGGGGGGGGGGGTGTTTAAAAATAAAATATTTGATTTTATGTCATTTTATTTCGCATTCGCATCTTCGCGATTTGCGCGTCCCCCCCCCCCTCTGGCTAAGTTGCCGCGGGGCAAGTAAGTAAGTCAGTAAGTGAGTGAGTAAGTGAGTAAGTAAGTGAGTAAGTAAGTAAGTTAAGTGACTGAACTATCTCAAACGCTTCGATAATCGCGTCTGGGAATGCGGTAATATTCCTGCGTTAAATAAACCTCCGCATTAACGGGTCGGCGAGAGCTGCTCTGGCGGCAAATTAAGGTTTAAAAGTCCTGTATTTTTCTATACCCCTCTCCCTCTCTCTCTCTCTTTGTGTGTCTTTCTATGTGTGTTTGTATCTGTGTCCCTCTCTGTGTGTCTCTCTCTGTGGCTTTATATGTGTGTGTGTGTCTCGGTGACACATTGCGTGTTTCTCTCTCTGACTTTCTGTGTGTGTGTCTCTGTCTGTGACACCCACAGTGTATGTGTCGGTCTTTCTCTGTGTTTGACACACTCTCTCTCTCCCTCTCTCTGACTGTGTGTGTGTACGTCTCTCTCTCTCTCTCTCTCTGTGTAACACACTCACTCTCTCTGGGCTATAATAAACCCACGGTTGACACAGATCCGAAACTCGGAACAGCGTTCGCTTCGACGCTGACACCAGATCTGATAAGAACTGACACGCAGAGAAGGGGAGACGTTTAAACCTGTTTGCAGGAGCAAAGCCGGTCAGAGCGAGTCTGATCAAACCGAGAGAGAGAGAGAGAGAGAGGGAGAGAGGGAAAGAGAGAGAGAGAGAAAGAAAGAAAGAGAGAGAGAGACAAAAATCCCATCGCCTTCAGCTATATCCGATTCTGCAATGTTCTGAACTTGTTAAAAGTCCTCCAGGACCCGCACATACACACTCCCCGCACGCACACACACGCACACACACTCCCCCCAACCCCCGCACGTACACACCCACTCCCCCCGCACACACACACACGCACACGCACGCACCCCCCCCACCACCCACCCGCACACACATTCCTTCCGCACACATGCACACACTCTCACCCCCCACCCACCCCCGCCGCCTCCCGCACACAACACACTCCTCCCGCGCACGCTCCCCCCCGCAGACACGCACAAGCTCCCCCCCCCCCCCCCACCGCACACACACACACACACACCCGCACACACCGAACACGGGAGGAAAGTGAGTGTCTGTCTCTCAGGTGAGGCCGTTTGGCTCTTTGTTCTGTGACTGAAGCAGCGCCGAGAGTGAGGAATCATCACCTTCCCCTCCGCTCGGTCTCTCTCACACTCCCCCCCCCCCTCCCCCCAACCCCCCAACCCCCACCCCTCGGCAGCTCCTTCTCTCCGTGTTATTCTCACTCTCTTTGTCTCCCATCTGCCTCTCTTTCCCTTTTTTTCCCCATTCACGTCTCTTTCTCTCTATTTTTGCGCGTTTGTCTCGATTCCTCTCTCTCCCCATTCGCTCTCGGCTCCTCTTAACTCATCTCCGAATCCCTTTCTCTCTCTGTCTCCCTCTCTCCATCTCTCTGTCTCTCTCTGTCTGTCTCTCTCTCTCTCTCTCTCTCTCATTCTTTCCGTCTCTCTGTGTCTATCTGTCTGTCTGTCTGTCTCTCTCTCACTCTTTCGGTCTCTCTGTGTCTATCAGTCTGCCTCTCTCTCTCTCTCTCTCTGTCTATATATCTCTCTCTCTCTCCGTATCTCTCTATTTCTCTGTCTCTCCCCACGTTGTCATTCCAGCCCTCGCCCTATCCTGTTGTCTCCTGTTGTCGGTTCCCGTTTCGTTCCGTCTTTTTCTCTCATCCCTTTCCCAACCCACTGCGCCTGACTTCACACAGTCTGTCAAGGAAAGAGATCGGATCTCACTCACTCGGGGGAGAGAGAGAGGGAGAGAGAGAGAGAGAGAGACAGTAGTTAAGATACTCAAAGAATCAGATAACAAACAACGGCTGATGAGAACATTTCCGAAGCGCGCACAACCCTCCTCTCCTGTTCGCCTTCGCAAATGGTGTGGAACGAGTTTATTCACAATGCAATTCACCCGGAAAATCGGAAATAAACAACTTCTTTTTATATAGAAACACACACCACACACCACACACCTACACACACACACACACAGACCGAGAAATACAGACACGGAGACACAAACAGACACATACACAGAGACACAGACGCGCATAAACAGACGCACACACAGACACACACACACACGCAGACAGACCCCCAAAAAAGTGTGTGCGGATATGAAGTTTCACTTACCACCAGATAGGGTAGCCGGCAAGCGCTCCAGTTGAGTTCAGGAAAAAAGATAGGACAATCCCAACCAGGTACAAATCCATGAGTGTAAAATGAGAGTGAAAGTGGGGGAACCCGAGACAGACAGAGAGAGAGAGAGAGAGGGAGAGAGAGAGAGAGAGAAAAAGGAGAGACAGAGAGAGGGAGAAAAAAAAAGTTTCTTAAAATAATAAACTTGGGGAGACGATTTCAAGAGTCAAAAACTTCAGCAGGGAGAGACTTTGAGCTTTCCTTCAAATTATACACATGGTAATATTAAAGTAAGGGGTTCAATAGAACCCAACACCCAATCAGATCTCATGGCCTTAGGACACCGATGATTATATAGTTCAGCGCTGTCAATCACACATACCACCCCAACACCGAGCTAATTGCACATGGCAGTGTTTTGGTGGTTTCCTCAGCCCTGTCCCGCTGTAATGATGAAATGTTACGAAGAGGGCAATTTGAATAGGAAAGGATGGGAGAGAGAGAGAGAGAAAGAGAGGAGAGAGAGGACTCCTACCAGCCTGGTTACCACGCCAACGCTTGGAGAGTTCTAACCAGCTCTGGCCTTTTCACATCCCCCCCCCCACACACACACATCCCCCCCCCACCACCCCCACACACACACCCACCCCCCCCCCCCCCCACTCCCCCCCCACACACACACATCCCCCCCACACACACATGCCCCCACACACACACATCCCCCCACCCCCCACCACACACGCACCCACCCCCCCAACCCCCCCACACACACACCCCCACACCCCCACCCTCCTCCCACCGAAGAAAGGAGCGAATGTAAGTATGATAATGCGCGACATGTGTTAACTTTCTCCTCGACACAAAACAGCGTGATGAATATGGGCACAGCCAGAGAGCTAATAAATGGAGGATTATGTGTGTGTCTGTGTGTATATATTTGTGTGTATGTATATGTATGTGTGTGTATGTGTGTATATGTATATATGTGTGTGTGTGTGTTTATGTGTGTATATGTATATATGTGTGTGTATGTGTGTATGTATGTATGTGTGTGTGTGCGTGTATGTGTGTGTATATATGCACGTGTGTGTCTGTGTGAATATGTGTGTGTGAATGTGAATATCTGATTGGGAGTGTGTGTGTGAGTGTCTCTCTCTCTCTTTCGAGGGCACATCAGAAAGTATTGCGTCCCTTTGACAGTTTGACAATCTATATTTAATAATTCTTATGTATCACATTGACAGAGGGCTTATCTACTATTTGTAATATAATATATATATATGTATATATGCGACGTTTTATATTGGAAATTGACGTTTTTTGCAGGTGGTTTTTGAGACTGTTTTGTGAGGATGATTTATACAGCAGGACAGGATGGATTTCGTTTGTTGATATGATTTAAATCGCGTTAATGGGTTGAAGTGTGACAAGGAGTGCGTTCTTCTCGTGAGTTTGATATTGATACCCGGGCATTCGGTGTGGGGTTCAACCCCCGTTTCTTAGCCCAGGGCAACCCGGAGCTCCCGTCTGGAAATTACAGCACTTTGTAACACACACACACTCACACATAAATACACACAGAGAGATACATAGACACACATAGATACACACACACACACTCACACACACACTCACACACAAATACACACACTCACACACTCACACACACTCATACACAAACACACACACACAGAGATACACAGACACACATAGATACACACACACACACACACACAAATACACACACTCACACACAAACACACACACAGATACAAAGACACATAAACAGACACACAGACACACCATAGATACACACACGCACACACGAATGTATGGAGAAAATCTTTGCTCGATTTTATTTCATAAAAGATCCCGAACAAAAAAAAACACTCCACCGAAAGAATAAGCTGATGAACAGCACAATTCACGTTAAACTCGGGACAGTTTTTTTTAATGCTTAACGTTTTATTCTATTCCCACCAACAAAACAGTAGGAATATTCCGTCTGCACAAATCTACACATTTCAATATATATTTTTTGTACAAAAGGAGTATTTTTATCCGCTGCGAATTTTAATTCCCCTCCAAAAATAGCGTTGCCGAGTACACCTGTAGCGTGACTTCAGAGCAGATTAAAGTGCAGTTTTTTTTAGGGTTGGACCCAAATATTTACAGATGGCAATAAAATCCCGTTTCTTTCCTCGTGATTTTTTCTGGAGCGAATCCTGACAATAAGGCAAGAAAAAAAGGGTTTCGCTTTGTGTGCGAAAAACAAACAAACCACTGTACACAAAACACGCACAAAAACAGAGTAACGACGATCCACAATTGGGTGTCATTGGGAAATTATATCAATTTTCCTGTTGCAGTCGCTCTTTCCTGAGAAACCCTGAGAGAGGGTCTCCTGACGCAGATTTATTACGTAACTTAAATAGGTTTTCCGAGTTACCCCGAAGCTTTTCTTGTTGGTAAAGTGGCTTCGGGGCCGAGGGAAGCAGTTTTACATCACAGACAGAGCCTGCGCTTGGGGTTGGGGTTGGGGTTGGGGCTGAGGTTTGGGGCGCATCCACTCGAGAGATCCCAGTCTGACACTGGAGGCAAAGTGTGTGTGTGGGTGTTGGGGGGACGGGGGACACACACATTCACCCCCAAAACACACACAGGCGGAAAACACACGAGACCAACATATCACAGGGTTCCCCACCCCCTCCACCGGCGTCGCCCCCGCCTCAAACACACTGCAAACAAACAAGTGCAAAACTACACACAATTCAGTCATCCCTTCGCGGCCTCTGCCCAAAACCTGTCATTGGGATCACATCAAATGCAACGCTATAATTTTCACAAAAACACCGTTTGGGTGTTCAGGTGCTCATTAAAGGCCATTAGGACACAGCACAAACCAAGCAGCCCACCGAAAGCACAGAGAGAGAGGGAGAGGGAGGGAGGGGGGGGAGGGAGGGAGAGAGGGACAGGCTCCCCTCTTCATTCGGGTTTTGCTACAACACATATCACAACGAACAGCGGGATCTCTGTGAGCGAAGCTGCCGACCTGCGAGAACCAACTTTGTGGAGCATATTTCATGTTAAGACGCGTCCCCACGTTAGTGCTCATTCATTGATGTTGTACAAGTCTATGTTCAAAGCAGTTTTTAATCTGAACTCGGGTTTCCCCGTTTACATATTATTCCAGAGTCCTATTTATTGTGTGTGTGTGTGTGTGGGGGGGGGTTCTGGCTGTGTTGTCTGGCACTGGACAAGGCGAATGGCAAAGAGAAAACACACTGGGATTAAAGCTCAGAATGAGAGGCATTTCACCACGAAAATATCGAATTAAGATCAATAAACCACTGGTTTCGGACCGCTCATTCATTCGCCCTAATAACCCTGATTTGATTCAACTTTCAGCCTTCCCGAGCTTTGCTCGAGTGCGAGAGCAGATGCGATAGTAACTTTCCAAAGGGAATTGGATAGGTACTTGCAAAGGGGTGGGTGCGGGGGGGGGGGGGGGGGGGATGTGCAGAGTTGTGGAGTAAGAGCGTGGGAGTGGGACGAGTTGGTGGCTCTTACAAAGAGATGCCACGGGCACGATGGGCCGAATGGCCTCCTTCTGTGCTGCCAGGTTCTGTGAAATTAAACGAATATTTGTGTGTGTTGGTGTATTTTGGCGGCAGTGGTAATATTATGTCTGGTTTGGCAGTTTCTCGTGCGGTAATGCCCAGAATTGACACGAGAGCGGTTGGGGCACACATTGCTACGGCATGAAAGGGCAGAAATCGACGCATGGAATAGCCAACTAACCCTGGCTCGGTCCTCCCCACTGCAACCGATTCCCCCCCACAAGATAAGGGATAAAAGAGCTTCCCCCATCCCAGCCCCCCTCCTCCTCCTCTCCTCCCCCACCCACACACCACTTGCTGATGCGTTGGTCCAGAGGGCAAGTGTTTTTTTTTACATTACCATTTAAGGATGTAAACTACAAGAGGGATAGGGAGGGCGCTAAACAGCAGGGAAGAGCCAAGAGGTCAAGACAGGAGGTGGGGGGGACCACTGGGACCTGGAATTACCTGAGCCTCTTCCTTTCAGGTGCAATACGTTGACAACAGCGACACCTAACGACGACTTGTGCGCCCAACACACACAACACACACACAACACACACACAACACACACACACACACACACACAACACACACAAACACACACACAACACACACACACACACACAACACACACACACAACACACACACACACACAACACACACACACACAACACACACACACACACACACAACACACACACACACACACACACACACACACACACACACACACAACACACACACACACACAACACACACACACACAACACACACACACATACACAACACACACACACACAACACACACACACACCGGTTCCAATTGGACGCGTAATTAGGGGTTCCCATTGATTGCAACATCGATTACCTGTGTTTTGCTCTTGTATTTCAATGTGGAGGGATTAGCCTCTGGCAAATCAGTTACAATTCAGTCAGCATTAGTGTATTAAGGAAGAGGAGTTGAACATCTGGAGGGTAGGAAAGATTTAAGAGGGGTTTTTTTTTTTGGGGGGGGGGGGCTTTGAGGAAACATTGAAAAAGCCAGGCAGCTGCACAATAATACAAGACTGTTGATGGTTGACCATCCTGTCTGGCCTAGGATTGAGACTTGATGATACAGAGATGTCCCTGCGAGCCAAAACTAACAAGTAGGTGGTCCGAGCTGGGCAAGTATTATCCTGCCCGGTAGCCACCAAGGGTTAGTAAGCAGGAAAAAAATGTATCCTCACTAATTAGTGCAGATAAGTGAATACTGGAGGCTTTCAAATTTACGTTGTCTGGCCTTTCCATCCTAGGTCACACGATAAAACTTCTCTGCATAAACATTATCCCTTCAAAATCTTGATAATCTTCATAAAACCCTGTTCTGCTCTCCGACTCTCCACCAGGACTGCAGTTGGCAAGTGCAGTCAGCTTCCATACTACTGGACAGAGTAACACGTATTATACAAATGTAATTCTGTTGTTGGTG